GGAGTTAGAGCGGGGAGCCGGCTCGTAACCCTGATGCTGCAGAGCGCTGGGCTCGCTCACAGCTGGCGGCTGGACCGCCGTCCCTTCCAGCGCATCTGCGTTCAGGGGGCGGGAGCTCAAACAGTCCGGGTTTCCTTTACCGGGTGGCGATGCCCCTCAACCTGATGCGCTTTTCAGCCGGAAATGGCACGGATTTCCCTCATCTCCCACCACAGCACAGGTCATACTCGGACGGCTGTCACGGGATAGCATGCAGTTAGCAGCTCGGATGCAGGAATGATTCACCTCCGGAGGCTGGAAGCTGAATATCCCATCGGACAGGATGTACGAGGCACGAAGACTCTGCGCAGGTTCAGCCTTCCCGAGAACAAGCCGTTATGCGTATGAAAACCTGGACACGTTTCACCAGATTAATACTGATTTTTGTGATGTTACTGAGCAAGGAGCTGCAGCTGTGCTGGCTGCCATTCCAGAGCTGGAGGCTTCCCACCTCAAAACCGAGGGAGTCGCCGTGGAAGCAAACCACACAACTCTCATGTTGGAAGGAACCAGAGGACATTAAGAACTGGTAAAGGGCAGGCTGCGAACCTCAGCTTCCCCGCTGCCGACCAGAACGCCGTACTGCTAGCTCTGGCACTCACAGCCCAAGACAACTCACACAAACGTGGTACAATCGGCTCCAATTAAACAAGCGACATGCAAAAGATGCCGTATTTCCCCTCCAGCACTCTTGGGAACAATAAGCCCACATTCGAAAGCGATTTAGAAACCTCATGAAATTGAAAGTAATCCCAACTGTCAGTGCCCTGCCACCACGGTTGCCAGATGCCTTGATCTACAAGGCTAAAGACTTCAACCTGTCAAAAACTACGACGGGTTCCAGCAGCTGAGCATCCCTTTCTGGTCGCCTTTTGCTTGCCAGATGCCCTTGGGCAGGGAGAGGGCTGAGGCAGTACATGCCAATATGCTCTGCTGGGGATACAACAGCACCAGCTGCGAGGGAAACGGCAAACCTTGACCTCATTTCCAGAACACCGAGACGGCAGCGAGACTCGAGAGAGGCACCAGGACGACAAACCCAGCCCCCGACCCATCACACCCCGTTGGAGCGCAGCTACGTCTGCGCTCAAGTGTTTTCAGCGTCACAACCGAAAGTGCTGGACTGAATTTCATCCTACAGCAAGGAGGTGACAAAGCTGTTTGGCCAGCGGGTGGGAGGGTTGGTTTGGCTTTCCCCCCCCCAAAAGGAAGCTTAGTTGCTCCAGTACTTCTGTCCCTTCCTCCCACAAAAGGTACCGCGACAGATTTAGGATTAATCAAACAAGGATGAAGTAATCCATTCATGGTCAGGGTTTTACACACTAATACTGCCAAGTTTGAGTACATACATGAACCCCTCCCTCTGAAATTACCCCGACTGCTTCAACAGAGTTGTCGTAGGAGGTATTTCCCGAGGAGAGCCACACACCCAGACACCACGTTTGGCAAATCTGACCCGACACAACGTCCCTACGGAAGAGCCCCGTCGGATCCCTTCCGACGGAAAACTGGAAACCTGGAGGAGTTTAAGTACCACCTAGCTGTCCTACAATGACTTTTGACTCAGGTTAGTAACCACAGAAGCCCAAGAGACAGTTCAAGTGGATTGGGAGACACCTCCATCAGTCCCAATGCCGCTGGTCTCAATACCCAGGCTGTAGGTCAGTAAGGAAAAGCTGTGACCAAAAGGTGCCAATAGAGAACAGCTGAGTAACTCCGAAATCCCTGCAACCAACGTCAGGGTACCTCCCCATCAGGTTATCCTCCCCCTCCAGTAACAGGAGAACTGGCGAGATACACCCCCAGGCGCAAGCCCCCAGTTGTGCCCAGCACCTGATGGAATGAGGAGCCCGACGGGACTCTGCTAAGCGAAGACACCGAAGCACCAGATGCACACAGTGCTGCTCCCTTCAGTGCGACCGGGAGGGTGCCCTGTCTCTTCAAAAAAAGAGGCCAACACCCAGAAAACTGATCCACACCCGAGGAGCGGCCACAGGCAGATGCAAAAGCAGCTCTGACCCCAGCCACCGGCCAACCCCCGTGTCCCACTGACGGGGTCGGAAGGTGCCACAACACACGAGGGCCGGTGGCACCCAGGCGTGCTGGTGCGCCCAACGGGACGCGGGCGTTTCAGGTGAGAACGCGCTACGTACCTGTCAAGTCGGCTGCGTTCTCTTACGGCCGGGTCACAGTATTTTGACTCTGTCTCACTAGAGAAAACCTTAACAGCTCGGATACCTCAAAGCACCTGCTGAATTAAAGCAAAAGCTCTTTTACAACTTACTTGGGTTAGCAGAATTGATTTTCTGGAGCAAGAGAAAGGAAGAGCTATTAGAAAAACTACTCCTCAAGTCACAAGGGCCTACAGAGAACGAAACTTCTGTAAGCCAGCTGGGAACTCAATGAATACAGAGAAAGCAGATTTTCCGTGTACAGAGTGATGTGAAGACCGCACGCACTACACCCTGCTCCTGAGCCTGATCCTCCAATGCAGCCGCAAGCAAAGTGACAATCCCTCCTCCTCTGCCCTTTTGAAATCTGCCGGCAGCCAACAGACACGGAACGCAGTTCAAAGCCATCCAGGAATACTTTGGCTATCTTCAGAGCAAGGAGGCAAATACCCTGTTGCTCTGCTGTTATCCGCATCACAGCAGCGGGCAGGATCGCAAGGAGAAGTTTCATAGATGTCTCATTAGCAAAAGGGAGAAAAAAAAGAGGCGAAGGGGTGGCTAAGGAAGATGGACGGGTGCCAGCAACGAGCTACTAGCCAATCTGACTAGCCTATCTATCATCCAGAAGAGCAGCAACTTGGGGGGACCCCTGGATGAGTAGGATTCCAGTAGACTCCACCTTCAGCTCAATGTTTTACTGGCATGGAAATGGCTCAAAGTGGGACAGCACGGAGCAGATGCTGCCTGTGAAGCCTGTTGCAATCCAGGTCAACTGGTTTGCCTCAGTAATGTTTAAAAAAAAAATTTACAGTTTCTCCCCAATAATCAGGAGGCACAACTTCCCTTAGAAAAAGTCCATAGTGAATTAGGTCATTGGTCCAAATACTTGGAGGACAACTCTGATTTTCTGCAGTGACATGGCCAGAGCATCTCAGTTTCACATCTTCATATGGCAGGACCACGAGCGTGGTTTTAAGTAGTCCAGGAACGCGGGCTGCAACAGACAGAGAGACACTAAGTTAGTCACGGGCCAGCAGCACCAGCTGCGGTGCGGTCTGCTGACGTCCAATTTCCCTAACGGAAGGGAACAAACCGTATTTCTACACCCTGCAACCCTATTCTTATCCTCACTAAACAGCACGTGGAAGTGTAGCTCCAGCCACAAGCAGCTGTTTGCCTGCCACCCACGTTACCCCCAGGTCAGACACATCAGGCAAACGCTGAGTCTAGTAGCATCTTGCGTCAAGAAGCCAGTTATTTACAGAGGCAAACTCTTAACTGAGGAGAAACAAACTTTATTTTAAGTTTGTTTTAGAGTTTGCCTGAGGGTATCTTTGCTTAAAATTGAAATCAACTAAAACAGAAGGAAGTTTTATATGGAACAGAATCCGGTATCAAGAAAATGAATTACAAGCCAGAGGAAACACCAACAAAAACCCAAACTGACCATTTATAGGCAAGAAACCCTCACTGCCACCCACTCTAGCCTGGGAGAGGCACGACAGGCTCTGTTTCTGCAGAGTTAGAAAAGCTTCTCCTGGTCCCACTGGCCAAGCGCTGCAGTTCCATCTGCAGAGCCTGAACGGCCTAGCGTGCTCTCAAGTAGGGCCTTATGCCCTCAGAGATGCGGGAAATCCACCCTCGGTTTCAAGAAGTGAAATACTATCAGCACAGAGCAGCAATGAAAACCCTGTTGTCAGGCTGTTCCCAGACTAATCTCCCAAGGAAGTGACGCGGCACACTGCCAGAGAGGCTCGTGACATTTAACCTCTGCCCTGTCCCCACAGCAAGGGCAAGTCGCTCGCGCGGTCAGTTGTCCCCAGGCAAGACCCGTCACTCACGTTCTCCATGGGGCAGTACTGGCGGGCATACCACTCCTGGCTGTAGAGGCAGATAATGACACCTTGGCCCAGGAAGAGGGAAGTCCACATGATCACGTTCCAGATGGGCCCTTTCCGACGGTCGTTAAGGATGAAGTTGAAGACCACTGGGAAGAGGTGAAACGAGAAGCACTGTTCACAAAGCTCAAGAATAAAAGCTCAACAAATTTCACTGGATCTTTCCCTGCCTTCTCAGTCTCTGGAGCAACAGGGCTGCTCCATGAGGTCAGAACAGCGCAAGCAAATCTGATTATGCTTGGCAGCAAATACTGACTTGACTCTGACATTTCCTTCTGGTAACTGTGCCAACAAGCTGGCCCAGCTGTATGCCTCTGGGGATCCGTATTGCTTGTGTTACACTGGTGCCCGAGACACGCTGGCAGAGGCGGCCTGGAGTTTATTAGAGTCCTCTAACTCATTCAACTCAAACCCCAGAATGAAGCGCAAGAGCTCTAACTTCCAAATGGGTGTCACACGAGCAGCAGTATATCATACACAGCCCTCTTCCTCCCCATCAATAACTGGCTTGCCTAAGTCCCGAGCCTGCAGACCCAGTGCATGCATGGGTTTCTATCGGTCTACTGAGGTACTTCGCTGCAAAAATCCACCCACAAAGTTTGGACTCGCAATTGCAACTCTTGGACAAGAAACAGTTCTGTGTATTAGTGCCCGAAGAGTAATGGCACTGTTATCAGAAGGGCACAGCACGCTGGTTTAAAAGAGCCACAAAACTCACAACCCGCTCACACATCCTCTCCTTGGAACTTACTTCCAAAGCACATAAACAGGAAGAAGAGGACTGGGTAGAAGAAGCCGAAGCAGACGCTCAGAACGTATTCGTGCACAGCAGCTGACACTGTGAAGACCGACAGCATGGCTGCTGCTCTGCACTTCTTACCGAAGAACTGGAAGAGAGAAGAGCACCAAGTGTTATAAGCTATTCTGTATTTTTAGTATCCAAGCACAGCGTGAGTTCAGGCTGCTGAGCCAGTCCTTACACTCCTAAGTCTCGGATCCACACTGTGCACAGTAAGGACCTGGAAACTAGCAACGGCTCTCTAAAGCGTGGTGGTTACACAGAACAGCAAGACAAGACATTTCCGTGCTCCTCAGCAGACAGTGATGCTGTGTCTTGACAAAGGTACAGTCTTGCCCAATAGTTCAATGTTTATTAACAAAACGAAAGAATACACATGCTTGTAACTCACCCAAAGGAAGTCCCTATAGGCGTAGTAATAGAGCCAGTCGTGCACTACCACGTTCCAGGTTCGGTAGTAGTTTGCATAGGAAGTGGAATTCCACCAGTCCTGAAAGCACAGTTGAAAGACAATAAATGTAACTAAGCATAAAACACTCTTACAGGTCTTTTCTGGGAAAAATATTGAACAGAATAATAGCAAGCTAATATAACAAGGTGCACCATGAAATAATGCTTTTCACTGGACTTTCAACATTCTGTATGTCAACGTTCTGTTTTATCCCAAAATGCAGCGGCTGACATGACGAAAGAATAAGGAGCGTAACAGAGCTGCTGGGAAGGCCTGGGGGCAGCTTCTGTTGGAGCACAGGGTATATCCCTTCAAAACAACTCGGACTGCCAAGCAGAAATCAGATCTGTTCTACAGCACCGCAACTAACGTAAGCATAAAACAAGCAAAACTCTGTGGATGCTCTGTTTGGTAAAACCATCTTCCCTTTCCTCCTCTTTCATTTTCATTAGGGAAATGAATTCTGGAAGCTTTACAGAGCTTCCTTTACAAACTAACTCCTGCTTCTTACCTTGTAGAACATCCTGTCTGCAAAGCGCAGCATCTCAGCAAACGCATTGAGCCAACAGTGAAGGAATGCAAAGAAAACCAGGAAGAGTATGAGTACACCTAGAAAAAAAAGGCAGATTCGGACCAGTTTTGGAGCCTTGGGAGCAAGTGAATGCAGTCAGGACTGTTCTTACGGGCACTGACACAGACGAGCTCTGCACTACCGATACAGAACAGTATTGGAGTTCTCACCACACCACGTCACGCTTGCTCTGGCAGCAAGGCTGCCCCAGAGCCTAGAGCTTGGCTTTCCAGACAGTTAAAAACCAAACCCAAGCTTTTATTTTGTGCCGCTGACTCTGAAGTTTAACACCGTAAGGCTGAAGTCTGCCCACAAAACCACCTTTGCTGACCCGTGCCTACCACGAATGCATCTCATACCAAGACCGTCCCCTCCCTTCCGCCTCTTCCAGTCACCCGTGAATCCAGGGCTTACCTGGCAGAATGGAATTGAAGATGCAGAGGACCAGCCCTCGAAGATTGAAGGTTTCCTGACTACTGTTGCGAAACTGAGGAATGCAGAGTCTCACAAAGATGTAGTAGGCATAGAAAAGTGAACCAAGCACCTGGAACAAACCCAACAGTCTGACTCCGTGAGAGAAATGCACAGTTAACATATCACCACCTGACAGCTCTACGAGAGGAACAGCAGCTGCCAAAACATGTCAAAATAATTTATTTCACATGGCTGCTAATAAACTTCCTTAAGGATCCAGGCAGAAAGCAAGCCACAGCCATCTCTGGCACGCTGACAGCCAGGAGCAAAATCAACTTGTCTTCTACTACAGCAGCTGTAAGTGTCTCCTAGTCCTGTCAACTGAGAAGTTATGACAAAAGATTTATGCCAATGCCTGAGCAAGTGGTGAAAGTAGTACCCTGTGACCTGGGTCCAACATAAGTGCAGAAATCATTGAAAAATACTGTAGTTAAACCTAATTAGGAAAGCTTACTTTTCTTTTATCCCAAAGGATGTCTACAGGCCAAGCCACCTCAGCCCTTCTCTGGCTCACAAACCTTTCTTCGGGCAGCTGAGGTCAAAATGCAAGCCACCGCTTTAAATCTCCGCTTGCTGCAAGCCAGGTTTGCAGCCTCTTTTGTCAAGAGCAAGCAGCCAAAGGCATTCCCGTGCTTGCTCTTCACTTTTCTATTTTGTAATTGTTTTACCTTTTAGAACATGACTGCACTGCGTGACAGTGCAAGTCTCGATCCCGTAAAGCCAACACACACAAACACATCCACAAGCAGCTACTGAAGCTCACGCCCGGAACCACAAAGATCAGATCAACTTTGAGCTGAAATTAAGCACCGAGGCCTCCAGGCCTCACTATTTCAAAACTGGTGTGAATATCTGCAGACAGGTATTGTGATGCACAGCACAGCTACATCGGTGTAAAGAATAAGGGACAAAGCACTGCCACACACACACAGAGCTTTTGTTGGTAAGCAATGGAGTCTAAAGGCTCATTTAAGCAAGGATTTGCCGTTTTACCCCTTCAGACACAGCCATTAATGCACCAAAATCCCCGTTTCTTTTCTTTTAGTCACTAAAGAGTACTCTTTTCTGCCAAGTCCACAATAAATAAACAGTGATTTAATGCCAAAGGGAGAACTTTTTCACAACACAGTTTAGGTGATCTCTGAAAGCTGAGCTGCTCACCTGCGCAAACTTGGTAGCTACGTAGCCCCATCTTATCACGGGATTCCTAGGGAAAAAGAACGCATGTTATCACATCTACACAGCACCTCAAAGCAGCAGAACCCTCCCTTCCACTGATTTCACTGACCTATACCCTGAAAAACCCCTGATCTTTCCATTCCAGCTTTCTTAATCCCCTGGCATCCAACAGATGCCTGCCCAAACTGCTGGTTCCTCAGCTTTCAGCTACAGAGGGAGAACTACGGCAATTCCATAAATGGAAAAGTATCCGGAGGGCAGCATTATGCAATTATGTGGGAGGTGGTGATCTGCCCGATTATCACGTAAAGGATTGCTGACTCGACACTGCCAAAGTGCAGCCCAGCAAAGTACAGAGAAGTTTGGGAGTCGCCAGCTTTAAAGGCTCGGCCTACCTCCTCAGACTCAAGAGCCAGGCCTGCTTATTGGCACCAGGTCAACCTGCTGCAGCAAATGCGTATCGCTAGATATTCACCGGCAAGTTCTTGCGTTGTTTCGCTTCAAGTGCGCTTCCCAAAGAAGTAAAACCAGAATGGTAAAGCCAAAATCCTCTTAGTGTTGGAGTGAGTTTTCATGGTCAAGTCCTGCCCTTGCCAGGTTACGGACTTAAGCACACCTTTGTGAAAGCTCCAAGGCTTAAAATGAATAAATCACATGAGGGAACGCGTTATGCTGGCCTCAGATTTTAGACTAATGTTCTATCGGTGTTGCTCACGTTACCTGGGATAGTTGTCTCTGTAGATGAGGGTGGGAGCAAAGAGGAAGTAGAGGTACTGAGAAATTCTAGGAATAGGGACTGTGCCTGGAAGAAGGGGAGAGAAAAGAAAAACACTGGAATCTTTTTGCTTACTGATGGTTTGGTTTCCCCTGTGCCCCTTCACAACACACTACCCTTATCTCAAAAAACACATCAGTCTGGAACACATCAGTCTGGTTTGGGATTTGCAGAGAATAAACCAAACAGACCTGCCCGATGGAGTCGCCCCCCACGAACCTTATCTCAAAAAACACATCAGTCTGGAACTAAAGGTTTGGGATTTGCAGAGAATAAACCAAACAGACCTGCCCGATGGAGTCGCCCCCCACGAAGCACAGTTACCAAGCCAGAGTGACTAACAGCAGTGCCGTGCTAACACCTCGACATCACATTTCCCTTCCTCCTAGGGAAGGAGCTGTAAGGCCTGTATCAATATGTGGGTTCATGTGCAGCTCCAGCACACCTTGCTGAAAGAGCTGCTGTGTTTCTACAACTGCTGTTGTTTCCACTACAGCACTGAACTGGACGTCTGCAGGCAGCCTCTGAACACTTTCTGCTGCGAAGAAATAAGGAGCTCTGTTGAAGACACACTCGACACAGATTACTCAGACCCGAGCAAGAGTCTAGCCCATTGCCTATAGCCAAATGAAAAGGTTCAAGGCTGAAATTATGATGCAGACGGCCAGCCTAGAGCTCCATCACCTGCCCAGCCAGTCACCTACTCAAGTCTTCTTTATCTCTTCAAGCCATGAGGCCAGCTCAAAGCAATGGAGGGAACACAGGAGCTGGTTATGCTCTGCTGCCAAAAGAAAGCAGGGCAAGTGACTCACTGGACTTGTCCTTCACAGAGGACAGGACTCTGGGTACATTCTCCCGGACAAATGAGTGAGCCTTCATAACAAGACGAACCTGTAAGACCAAGAGAACACCAGTTTAATAGTCTCCCTTTCTCAACTTCCCAATAAAGACAGGATCAAGGATTTTAGGGCAACACTTTCAACATCTTATTTCTCTCCAATCTAGCCCTTCTATGAGGAAAGGGCTGCTTCCTCTGCCCACAGGCCTGTTTAATGAATTTGAAACACTGCAAGGTGAAACAATGTTTCACAAGTTTTGACTCTGGAGAGTCAAAACACACCTCACTGACACACGCAGGACCACAGCATACACAAGGACTCATAGTCGCACCAGTAAGTCACTAACCAATTAACAGTGACTTAAAATTGATGCAAGAAGATTACCCTACCATTTCAATAGGCCAGTATGTTTCAAAGTGTGGAAACAGGTTCCTTGAGTTAGGTGTGATCTACAGTGATTACCGCTACGTCCGAGTAAGGTGGTGCCACACATAAATAGCCCCTAAAGGACCAGAAGGAGGGCTAGTTCCAGAGTTAATTCTTCAAGCCTACACTCATCTCTGACCACCCTTATTTTAACCTGATGGTCTGACCAGTCCTCCACACTCTTGCACCTTCCCCAGTAAAAGAAAATTCCACTTTCAATAAAGGTCTGTTTACAAGACAGAGACAGTTGCTTCTTGGGAACAGAAAGGGAAACAGGAACCACTTGCTGACTACGTATTTGCATTTTTATTGTGGTTTGTTGTTTGGGTGTGCTTTTTGGTTTTTGTCAAGAGGAATGTTACAGTTTCCTTGTGAACTATGGCACAACAGGTTCTTAAAATTCGTTTTAAGCATTTAGCATCCACAAGACAACTAGAAATAAATGGAATTTTAGCCTTGAAAGAAAACCCCACAGTGAAATCTTAGAAACAGGGTAAGAACACCTCAGGTGGTTTCCAGGTCACAATGAAGTTCACCGACTACTTTTTCTGCTGAGATCTGCTGCATGTAAGTCTGTCTCCAAGTCAAAGACAAACTTCATCCACAGCCCTGGCTTAATTTAATGAATAAAAATCCCACTTGACTATCCATTTGGAAAACAAAACTCAGTATATATCCAAAGATACTGGGTAGGGACCTACCTGTTCCAGTATTACAATAAAACGAGAAGCTGGAGGCAGCGCATATGACACAGCAATGTAGGTTGGTCCAAATCCGAGCCCAGCTGTTTGGAAGAGTGTGAACAACATCCCATAGAAGAGGGAGCGCATTACACGGTGGGGTGAACTGCAGTAGCCTTGGGCCCACCAGACAAAAAGGTTGTATGGAACGACCACCGTGGCACAGAACATGCACAGCCAAGTACAGAAGACGACTGGGAACTTCCCAAAAACAAAGACCAAGAGATCAAATCCTAGGACCAGCCTAGAAGGCACAAGGGAAGAGACAATAGTCATTGTCCATTGTTTCATTAGGAATACTTCTACTCCACTAAGTGGCTACAAAATACAGCTGTTTGACAGTCTCGACAGAAGTGACCGTGGCAGCTTTCAGAGACAGAGAGCACTGTCTGTGGCAGATTTCAGTGACCCCCCACAAGCACATCAGAAAATAAGAGATGAAGGACTCGTGCCATCAGCGCTGCCAGGCACAGCTTACCTTCAAATCCCACAGGGCTTAAGCACATCCTTAGTATCAGCATGCGCTTCAAGAGTACGCTCAAGCTCATCCTTGCTAAGAACAAGCATGTGACTAGAGGATCCACTGCTAAACCCAGAGCATTTGGGGAACACTCCCAGGACACCACCATTACATTAAGAATCAATTCTTCCCAGGACTTTAACACCTAAAGAGGCCTTTCCCTCACCTCTACAGGCATGAGGCATCTAGCACTTAAACCTAATTTAATCCTGCCCTGTGAAAGCTGTAGGCATTCCACATGGATTCTGTTTAGAAGTCATCCAAAAGGCTCAGGACCATTAGATGGTCAGTCCAAATATGCCCAAGTCATGTTCACCAGGTATTTTATTTCACTGATCAAGCTTAATATATAAGGACATGAATAAAAGGCTGTTCAACCGCACTGGCTCTCTAAGTCACCACAGCTTAAGCAGCCCTTCTGCTGTAGAGAGTACACCAACACGATTTATTTGTTCTGATGTGAAGGGTCACATCAAATGACCTTTGCAGGGATGCAAAGTGGATCCAAGTAGTGGACCTAGCATTGCTAGTGGACCTAGCAATGATGGTGGGTTGGGTTTTTTCATTTTTTAATGAAGCATTGAGAGAATCCAGCCTTATTAGTTAGAGGTAAATATCTGTTCTCCCCCAAAGTCCTCACGCTATTAAGTTAGGATCAGCTAAACAATATTCAATAGTGCAAGAGCCTGTTCTCACACCTAGGAAACAGGGACAACGATAACAATCAAGATAGAGCTCTGGTTTTGTACACTGAAGATCTGATAATCAGCAAGACAAACACGTAATCCTACTTGTGTACATGGGATACAGCTTGCCAAAAAGATACTATTTAAAGCAACAAGCAAGTGTGAGGAAAGCCGTCTTACACAATCTTGCTCACAACTGGCTAACAGCAAAGCACAGTCTTAACAGAGGCTGTGCCAGCATCCTTGAGCTCTTTTTTTCCCCCCCTCCAGGGGAAAAAAAAGTTCTATTTTTATTTAAGCACAAGCACAGTGTTCCAGGACTGCAATTTATAAACAGAGCAAGGACTGCCGAAGTATTTTAAGTTTTTCCGGAGTCCTCCTTCAAGCAATGCAAGCTGCTGAAAGCTACCGTTCCGTCAGATACCCAGCTACAGCAGCCCACGTTCAGCGATGAGCCCTCTCTTTTACCAGCCTTGTGAGGAACTAAGCACGTTAGGCCCAACTGTGTTGGCCATAATTCTCATGGCATACATCAGTCTGTAGGGTTTTCCTAACATCTTGCTACCGGATTCGAAGTGACCATATCCCCTCAACAGGAATTCCAGCATACATATTAAGTAGGACAAGTTGACAATAAGCAGTTTCATGTACCCCTTGTGCTTGTGAAGAGAGGATTTCCCAGCCCTGGACCCTGTCTTTCCAAACCATTCTTACCTTCCTTCGTCAATGAAGTCTACTAAAAGCGTGCTGAGGATGAAGACAATGAGAAGAGCGATGAACATGTGGTAGATCGTCCGGATGTGACTCACTTCAAACAGCTCACTGAGGGAGAGATTCAAACCCTATCAGGTCATTTGCATAGCGCCACACACCTCCAGTACTTCAGCTTTCACAGGGTTCCACCAAAGGTAAGATAACATCACTGCCAATCTGGGTGCCAGTCTACGCTGACACTTCTTTCCATTTATACTCAAAAGGATAATTAGCAATTATCTTAGTAGCAGTGAGAGGACTGTAATTAAGCTGTGTACTCAGGAAGCCTGCAAGCTTTAGCAGAGATGTTTTAAAAAGGAACAGAAAAGCTTCAAGGAATTAGTCCGCGGGCGTTTGAACGTAAGACTGCGGGTGGTAGTGAGAACACCCCAAAGCAAAGGCTACTTAGTTTGCCATCAGGGTATTTGGGTTTTTTTTGGTTTTTTTGGTTTTTTGGGGTTTTTTTCAGTCAATGTCGTGGCAAATGTGAAGTTGAGTTACTCACTCCAAGAGGGATCTCCTAGCAGAAAATACCTTCCCATGTTCTGGAGGGGCCCTCAAGGTCCTGCAAACAGAGAGAACAATTAAGACAAGAAAAGAAATAAGGCTTCCAGGAAACATAACCTTGTTATCGGAACAGCTTAAAACTGACTTACTTGGCTTTGTGCAGTTCTTTCTCCGAGCAGGAAGCTGGGAAGAGGGAGGCTGAAGATGAGGAATCCAGGAATGCTGATTTTGCCACCAAACTGTTGACAAACTCTGTGAAGTGACTGTCCACTTCCTTCATGAAAGCTGGCTTCAATTGCTGACAGCAAAAACAGAGCAGAAAATTGAATAACTCCCTAGATACATTTTTCATAAGATACTTATGTTCCTTTTTATCCTGCAGCAAGGTAGAGCAAGGCATCAAAGCATTCCTGTACCATCCACCAACAGCTGGAGCCACCTTGGACAAGATCGGGAGCTTATCCTGGCTTGTTCACGCACCTCAGGCCAGAGGACTTTGGATAACGTTATTCACCTCCACCAGACGCGACACAGAGGAGCAAAGTAAACACGCTGATCTTCATGTACGTGCCTGGAGTGGCAGGTATTTCATGTATTTTTATGGTGCCAAGAAGTTTGAGCTAAACTTCATACGTGAGCCCCAGAAAACATTTCTCAATTTTCACCGGAGTTACACCCTTAGCATACAAAACGAGTACAAGAAGTTTTATTTTTTAGCTCATCTAGTGTTACTGAGGGGAAAAAAGGACCTTTTCACACCTGAGGCTGAGCAGTCACTGTTGATGTTTTCATGCCTTAACGCAGAAGTGATCTCCATGACATGAGTGCAGGAAAACGGAACAGATCTCCCCTGCCACTGCTACCGCTGTGTGGATGAAGACTCTCACGTACCACTGAAGTTACAGAACACAGGAAATTTCCACTAAAGCAACAAAACATTGCTAAGCATTAATACTGAGCAGTGAGAGGGACAAAACTGGTAGGCGGTAAGACTGAAGTTCAAAACTCAGGGGATCAATCTCTCAGTGGAATCTCTGACACTCCCTTTCCTTCCAACAGCCTTATATAGGTTACCTTCTCTATTACAGTCAGTTGTGACAAAATGGTACCATCTGTAGCCTATTCGTATTTTTCATCTCTCATTTTATCAGACAAAGGCAACTTCTGAACCACCTGCTTTACCAGAGAGCTTAATTTCTAAAGATGCATGAAAAAACTTTGATGAGCTTATCCCTCTACAGTCTTTTTCTAAAAATGTACAGATACAGAGCAAGGAAAGGAGATAATCAGCTGTGGATAAAGCATAGGCCACCCTGGTCAAAGACTGCTTGCTTCACCTGATAAGTGTTTCTCTAGGAACGAAAACGTTACTTAACCCTCCTAATAAGTTACCCAAACAAGGTCCTGCACCTGGGTTGGGGCAATCCCAAGCACAAGGACAGGCTGGGTGAAGAATGGATGGAGAGCAGCTCTGAGGAGAAGGACTTGGGGTATTGGGGGATGAAAAGCTGGAAACGAGACACAAGCCAGCCGTGTGCGCTGGCAGCCCAGAAAGCCAACTGTATCCTGGGCTGTATCAGGAGAAGTGTGGCCAGCAGGGCGAGGGAGGGGATTCTCCTCCTGTACAGATTCTCTCTCTCCTGAGACCCCACCTGGAGTGCTGCGTCCAACTGTGGAGCCCTCAACATCAGAAGGATATAAAGCAGGTGGAGTGAGTCCAGAGGAGGCCACGGAGATGCTCCGAGGGCTGGAGCCCCTCTGCTATGGGGACAGGCTGGGAGAGTTGGGGGGTTCAGCCTGGAGAAGAGAAGGCTCCAGGGAGACCTTATAGCACCTTCCAGTGCCTGAAGGGGCAACAAGGAAGCTGGGGGGGATTTTTACAAGGGTCTGTAGTGACAGGACAAGGGGTAACGGGTTTAAATTGAAAGTGCGGAGGTTTAGATTGGATATCAGGAAGAAGTTCTTCCCAAAGAGGGTAGGGAGGCACTGGAACAGGTTGCCCAGAGAAGCTGTGGATGCCCCATCCCTGGAAGTGTCCAAGGCCAGGCTGGATGAAGCTTGGAGCAACCTGGTCTGGTGGAAGGTGTTCCTGCCCATGGCAGGGGAGTTGGAACTAAATGATCTTTAAGGCCCCTTCCCACCCAAACCATTCCATGATTACATGATTCATCTTCAAAAGGCAGACTGTAGAACGCTAAGATGTTTTCCTATTCCTTTCGTCTTGCCTAAAGACTAACACATGTAATTCACTCCTGTACTTTCCTGGCTGCAATACAGTTGGATCTGCTATTTAGACTCATAACATGAGCTTTCAGAGACCTGATCTCCCACACTCCAGATAGGTTTCAAACCAGCTGCATTTAGAGGAAACTGAACATTTTATTACTCAAAGTTACTTATTTTTTTATTACTCAAAGTTACTCGAGCTAACCCTCGAGTTCCTGAACCATAAGCCTCCCTAGAATGTCAGATCGCCATCATCTTCAGCACAGGAGATAGATTTGAAGTGATTTCTTGAAACTTGCCTAATTACACGTGTTTTGTCTTTTTATGCAAGTGTCTACTGGCAATATCTTTCTCTCCATCCTCTTGACTGGGTTTTTTCAAGTTTGCATCCAGATTCAAGGCCCAAGTCCTTCTGTCAACTGTATATTACTTCAGCCTTCCCACTGATCAGCTGCTGAAGAAACACGTTTCCCTGATCACCTTCAGAATTCCCAACTGCAACCTCCTTTCTCATCTTTAGAGCTGAGAATGAACAAAACCAAAGAAATCCATTTTCAAAGAGGGGGAAAAGAAACAAAAAAAAAAAAAAAAAAGAGTCTGGAAGCTGTGCACAGAAAGGCATTTGTGACACTTGAGCACATTTGTCAGTAGGTGTTTATGTTTCAGCGCCTATTACGCTAGGGAATGCTGGAGCAGCATTGTTTTCCCTAAAAAGGGAACAGGCACAAGGCCTAAGAAAAGGAAAAGCCAGGTAACAAACAGGGTGCCAGCTCTAAGCTGCAGCAGCAGCAGGTTTGTCTCTCACACAGACCTTTTTCTACAGCTATGATTTAAGGCGTCTGACTTCCACTGATGGATACTTGTCATCCATGGTACAGCCTTAATTTTCCAGGCATGCTTGGATTGATTTTATACAGTAGACCCAAAACAGACTAAGCTAAAAAGACCTCATTAGAAGCAAAGCTTTTAGGCTAACAAAACATATTAATAGACAATATATTCTTACCAAATCGTACTGTCTAATGGGACAACAGCCAAGCAAGTTTAACTCTCTGACAGGAAATAGAAGAGAAACTGAAGCTAGACCATGTAAACCCAGAAGACCCTGAACTCAAAGATGCACCAGAACACGACACTCCTCCTGTTTCAGAGTGGTTGGATCCAGAGAGATCTCAAACAAATCTGCAGGAGGGGAAGGAGCAGCTTAATATTTAACTTCATAAAACCCATTTTTCCCCTATTTGGCAGCTGCCAATATAGAATAAACAGGCTACACCAATGCTTAATGAAACAGAAGCTCTTAGGAGCTGGCTACACTTACATACTGCTGTTCTGGGAGGCAGAGGATTGTCTCTTGCAGAGATGTGGATTTGTTCCTTCCAAAACAGAAGTAGTTAGTTGAGTACTTTGGAAGTGCAGCCTGCAGCAGAAGACACCAGTGCTCTCTGGCTCAGCCTGCTTTTACAGCACACACACACATATCACTACCAAAAAAAGGCAAATAAAAATTCCTGCTTCTCTTGGAGCACTCAAATTCCTCCGCCAAACAAGGCCAATTGTCATTTTATTTAAAGATTGTCCCCTTCTTTTCCGCCCAATTGCTTCTCAGCAAGGGTTGAGCAGACATTATTTCCTTAAACTACCTTTTCCCTTTACAGCTAGCACTCTGCTGAGTTTGCTTCCTCCTGATACGAACCCCCCAAGGCTGACATCAACATATGCTTGTGTTTGGACTGGAAGAGGAGAGTTCAAGTTCTCATTAGATTAAATAAAATACGATATAACCAGAGCACAAACCTTACAGCAGTTGCAATTCTGTACAAGAAAACTGCACAGCATATCACACTATGTTATCAACTATCACTACTGCCATTCAAAGGGCAATCTACTTGAGCAACTGCCAGAGAAACTGTTAGTGCTCAATAAGCCAAGCGCATGCTGCCAAAGACATGAAACATGAGAGAAAGCACCTCCCAGCTCCCCTTTGACAGAACACAGATACAGACAGCTTGGTCGTGCTTCCGCCAGAGAGCAAGTTTCCTAAAGTAAGCTTGAAGTCACAGACACGGAACCAGGCAGGTCACTCAGCTGTCACCATAAAGTTTTAAACAACACAGTCAGGCTGTGACAACACTGAAAAGGGGGGGGGGGGGGGGGCAAGTATGAAATGAAAGCTATGCCATAAAAAGCAGAATCTGGCCAATAATTGATCAGAAGACAGAGAAAGCTGAAGAAGTAACCCTGTAGCTTACTTGTACTGAGAAAGCTGCAAGAGTTCCCTTGCTAAAACGTGCTAACGTCCAGCCCCAGTCAAGGGGCAGAATGCACCATTCTCACCTCAGTTTACCCTAAACAAAGGACTGGATTTTCAGACTGGACAATGGATGTATGAAGGCATCCTAATTGAAATAGCCCCTAACACTCACAAACACCCTTTAAGTTAGCAGGAGTTGTCACTGATCAGCACTTTTGAGAAGTTCAGCACCTGTCCAGACAGGTGGTGATCACCTGGTGATCAGGTCAGATGCCTGTCACCAGACAGGTAAACTGCCATCCAAGCTTTTGTTCAGTGGTTCACACAACAAAAGGCCCAAGCCCACCAGGAATTCTCAGGAATTTCAAGGCAGATGTAGGTTTTTACTTAGCCTTGTGACTATGACTGTAGCTTTGACCCACAGTAAGAAAATGTGCAGACTGCCAAACTCAAGGTTTAAAACTTGGACTCCCCGTGCTTTGGGAGAAACTTTAGTAACTGAAGTGGCACTGACCCTGCTGTTTTTCTTTCTTTTTGCAGATAAGAAATCACTTTGTCTACAGACTCGCGTGCCTCAAAGCTGGTGGCCAGAAAAAGATTTATAAACAAGAGACTTTCCTGAGGAAAGAAATCCAAGATCAATTTGTCCCCTTGCACCCAGTGTTCCCTGGAACTTGAAACTTGCAAAGCTACACGTGCTTAACAGTCAGAGCTCTCTGGTGCAAGCATCTGCTGCCAACGTAGTGATTTACAGTGGCTGTATTGGGCTGCAGAGAAGAAAAAAAAAAAAAAAGAGATGAGGCGTGCTCTATCTTGTCCTCATTAAGAACGACTTAAAGACAACATATAAAACAAAATTCAGAGCTGACTAACCCTCTAATGGGCTGAATTTTTGACATTTCGGCATAAAAAGCAGTACAGCTTTTGCAGAAGATTTAAATACACTTCAGTTATACTGTTGTAAGTTACACACCACCTAGAGAGGTCAAAAAAAACCCCATTCACACAGAAAAACATCTCAAAGGTGTAAGATACCTTACTCTGTCTCCTAAGTACCCACTCCCTAATATTCACGAGGTCGACACAATGAAGTTACTTCATCTTTACCCTGGAACTCTCTACAACAAAATGAAGCAAGAGCCAGGACGATTTGCCCTGGCAAACACGTGTGCTACAGAACAATGGTTAACAAGGAGGGTGCAGTTTGTTGTTAGCTAATCTCATTTAATTTGGTCATAAATCACCTTAACAAAGCTGATGTTGGAACTAACCCCGTGCTGGTTTTTTTCAAGGATATTGCTCACTGACAAAAAGAGTGGGAGCAAGGCTCAGGAAGGTCATCACCACAGAAGGTGTGGGATGCAGGTTAGGTGCTACCCATAAGTCAGATAGCAGGAGACTGAGCATTCTGAAGACTAAATATGCAAGCAGGCTAGCTGATAATCCCACTGCCCAGAGTTAGTGGTGAAGGAAGTTCCAGTTTATTTACAGGTCTCAAAGTTCACTCTTATCTTCGGACTTCAACCTAGTGGGGTCAAATAAGACAGAACAGTGTTTGATAATAGTACCCTCTTTGTGCAAAGTCAGAGGAAAGGAGGAGGAGAGGAAGAAGGCTGTATAAAAGCCACTGCACTCAAGCGGTGACTGAGGGATATTTATGTTCCAGGCAGGACTACGGACTCTCCAAGAGACATTCAGGGTCAGTTATCCCGCTCCTCCCCACAAGCAAGTATTAGAGTATATTTACCTCAGCTTCTGCTATTAGCTGCATTTTCCTTGTTACCACATGGTCGACATCAACCCGGCCTAAGGAAGGAAAGCAAATATTTAACAGTTGCATCCTCAGTGATGCGAGCTGTACATCTGGAAACACAGAAAGCATGACACGCAGTAACTCAGTCACTGATTTTTTCATTAGCCCTTCTGACTTCTAATAACGTCCCAGTAAATTCCAAGCTAAGCTGCAAGAAGTCTGTAAGCTATGACCAAGTATTTCAAACAGCCATTTAGGTTCACAGCTCTATAAGGCAGTCAACAGCTGATAACACGCCGGGTTTTCGACAGTTTTATTTTCCATCAGCAACTCTGCAAATCTTCAAGGTCCCTAAACACATTCAGCCTTGAAGCAGCAATTGGATATGACCTTCTAAGGGTTGCTCTAAGTGTGCTTATCTTCTATCAGAGTTTTATCTTTCACACAGTGAACTAGACATAAGATTAGGTTGTCTGGAGGTCTCTACATTACCAACGGACAGAGCAGTCAAGTCATGACTATCTAAAATAAAGCAAACAGCTCTGAAGACAGGCTGAGTGGCAAATTGGAAGGTCATCCTGTATTCAAGCCTGGCTACTCCCACTCCGTCCATCCCCCAGGAGCACTAGCCATCAGTCTGACTGTATTCTTCACTATGTTTCATCACTTAAGCACACAGTCAGGTCTAACCATGCCATAAACACCGCCTGATTTTGTCATTACTAATGCCTTTTGCTGCTATGCAAAGCCTCAAATGGTGCCTTTCTTTTGCATAAAGAACCGTGCACATCTGAGATGTCTCTATTACACCCAGCAGAACATACACAAAACAGACATTTCAGACTAATTGACGTAAGACAAAGCTTGCCTCCAATGGTTGTAGTGCCGACAAACCAGGCAGTGTTTTACTACTACGAACTACAACACAGAACACTTAAGTTCCTTAAAACAGTCTTGCACATGAAGGAAAAGCAAGATTAAAGCAGCAACATCCACCCCTCAAACACCAGTTAGGGTGAAAAGATAGCAACAAACTCTGCCCTGTGCATGTCCCTTGGCAACTGTACTACCTTACACAGCAACACTTGGCCAGCATTACAACTTCCACATACAGGTCCTAAGACAACACCACCCCTTTTACAAAAAGAGGGCACTGAATGGATTCTCTAGTAACTCTTCCAGAGAGGCATGAGCCAACAGACTGCAGTAGAGGAGGCAATGTTGTGCTGCTGTGATGAAAGGACAGATTCATGGCAATATCACAGTCCACAATGCAGCATCCCCGTCTTATCCCCCTTATAGACACACAGCACAGCAGGTTGTTTTAACATAAACAAGTGCTTCTGTGGTGCATGCTAGTCTGAGGGTCCTCTTACGAGCACCCACTTGTAGGAAGTTTAGTTAGACCTGCTTCAGAGGTAACTCCAAATACTGGAGAAGAGTTAAGTGAAACAAGACACTTTCTTCAATGAAGCTCTGCTCATTTAGCATCAATCCCTGCCCTGCCCCTAATCAAGCAGGAATATGGGTTGGTTCTTGTCTGTAAAAACTGCTACACAAGCTATTGAGTTAAGAACACACCAGCAACAACAGCCTATTACTTCACAGGCTTGTAATGCAACAACCAAGGAGACTGCTTAACACCATGATTTTTCTGCATGCAAAGATCAATTTCTATAAAAACAGAATTCCTGGTTGCTAAGCATCTCACCTCCAAGACAAACAAATTGCCTCAGCATTCAAGCTCATCTTGCTGTTAACCTGCCAAACAGCAGCAGTTTGGAGAACAATTAGAGAGAAGAGTGCAAGATAACCCTAGAGAGCCCCTTCTCCCACTCAGCTTGTGCAGTTTGCTGGTCTCAAATGGATTACGCTCCTCTCCCTCGATAAACTAAAAAAAGAAAATCAAGTTGTTCCACAAACTGCAGAACTGTATCCCCTTCACATCATCTCAGTGGCTCTACTCCCTCACTGCCCCACACCACAACTGTATTCGTAACCCTTCTGGCCATTACTACGGTGCTAAAAACCACCTTGTGCCCTCCTGCTAATGCAGACCAGAGCAAGCTGTTGAGCTCAAAGCACAACTGACCTTGCCCTGAAGAAAGGTAAGGATTGGCATTGCTGCCAATCTTCAAGATTACCTAAAGTGTGATTGAAGCTGTCCAACACAGCCAAAGAGGACAGGACACACGGGGCTTAAAGACTGCACGATTTCCTTGGTAAGCTAAGCAAAAAATAACCACTGCTTTGACCACGTATTTCCTGTCAGACCCTGCATTTGAAGCCTCAAGTTATTATAACCACCCAGCAGTGGCTTGCTTTAGAAATAAAACACACTCTGACTTAGAAGGCCTTAAAAATGGATAATAGTTTTACAGATACCTAACATACAGCTTTAATAGCTGTACAGAAACGAGGCCAGTCTCTGACCTGCTAACGTAACTGCCAAGTTACACGCAGCGTCCCCTCCTGTCACTTTATTCACCAGTGTGTGCACGCACTAGAAACATGGCATCTTTTAAAAGACTTCAAAATTAAGACCTCCATGACTTTAGCATATGCATCTCATAGAACATCTGTAAGCTTGTTGCTTCTTTTCCAGAAGAATGTCCTGTAGAAAACCCACCCCAAACAAACTCTTTCTGCTGTGTTCCATGACCCCGTAAACTCAAGCTGCGTCACAAAGTAGATACCAGAGAACACAAACTCATCATCTTCTTCAATTACTCATCTTCTGTTGTGCAAGCTGTACTTAAGTTGTGTGAGGTCATTCAAGAAGGGAACCATCACCCTATTTTGAGTCTAAAAGGAATCACGCACTGCTGAGAAGTCCAAATCTTCATTTTCCTTTCACACTGAAAATAAAGGCTGGATACCCCTGTGTCATTTGGAGATTGCAACACCATTACAAAACCAGACTCAAGTCTGCACAAGACAAGCAAGATGGGATACGCCTTAAGAAAGTGGGAAATACATTGGAAGTCAAAAGGAAGAATATCTTCCTCGAAGGCTACTATGAAATAGCAGCCAATTTCACAGGAGACTGAAGCAGGGTTTGCTTGGGAAGAGCTCTGCTCACAGGCACAAGTTTTAACTTAATGGGAGTTGCATTCCCTTCCCAAAGGCTGACCTTTACCTGGCTGACCACTTGTGTTGGGCTTGTAGAGACTGATCCTTGTAGGACTGACACCTCTGCACAGCCCAAACACAAAGCAGGTCCCAAAAATAGTAAGAAAAAAGAGCAATTTAAATGTAAGCCTGGTTTCCATAGGAAGCCAGACTAGTGAAAGATCACCAGAAGATTGAGAAGATTAAGAAAGGTAGTTTGTAAGACTTTGAGATATTCAAGTTGCTCAAGTTTTCAAAAAGAAGCAGCTTTCTCAAAGGATCTTGCTGTCCCTTTTTCAACCTTCTCTTGTACATGAGATGGGAAGGGAAGCGTCCCACTCATGATCTGTTAGTGTTGCAGCTTGGGATCCAACAAAACCAGCTTCTACCTAGGACACTAGCCAGCACTCTACTAAGCAAACCCTCAAAAATTAACTGTGTTAAAAAGCATTCATTTCATTTAACCGCTACAGTCTGTAATTACCACCACAGGCACAAGTGGGAATAACTCATTTGAGTAAAGCCGTGGCTTGCGTGCAGCGTTACGGTTCCAGCCTGCAGCGAATGAAGCGGCTGGCGGCCCAGCACTGAGCCACTGCCGCTCACGCTGTTACTGCACTGTGGCAATAAGCTTATTACTGAGCAGTGAACAACCCAGGGAGACTACTGCTACCTAAATCTCCGCACAGCATTCAAGACAAAAATGCCTCTTCACAGAACAGCATAGGAACAATCTTCAGTTTATTGCCACATGCACTTCAGAAAACTAGACATTTCTCAGAACCACCAAGCACACTGCTCACAGTTCAGCATTCCCCCCTAACGATGTCGGGATCTCTTTAGCTTCAGCATCTTCACGGAAAGTCATAAACTGTACCAAATATCACCCTTCTCTAAAAGGGTTGTAAAATATTACCTTTATTATTTCTTAATCTGACAATTTAGCATTCAAGAGGTTAAAATAAACATAGGCAGAAGGATTTTATTATTGTCAGATACCTGGATTCAAAGGCTCCCACTCTAAAAAAACAATGATGATGTTATCTGAAGGAAAACAATGTTAAAGCCAACCTAGTGCAAGGCTACTGTAATGAAGGCTTGCATATCTGATATAACACCTGTTAATAATTTGATGCTCCTAAGGTTCTTCTGACTTGTGGTAATTTATTTGGCCACCCAGCAGATAGTAGCAAGTGATGACTAGATTGCTGGCAGGGCTCAGCTGATCTGCTTTAAGAACACACAGTACACAGGTCACTGTGCTGCAGTGGGGCAAGGAATTCAGTTAACAGGGACATGGGACCCATACAGCCTCTTTGCCAGCAGGAGGAAACACCAGCATTCTCTGCATCATGCCAGCACATCTTCACAAGAAACTGCTCAGCCTTCACCAAACCCAGGGGTTGCAAAACAGGAAAACGCCTAAAATTACCAGAATCCACCTAGTTTCAGACAAGACAGTTGTTTGATCCATCTCCCTGAACCACATCCAAGAGACACGAGTCCAAAGAGCTTAATCCCAAATTCACTAATCCATAAGAGACAGCCCATTGATGGTATGAACCCTTAGTGCTGTGAGTCAGAGAGCAAACCCTAAAGCTTTCCAAGTGGCTCCCTCTTTCAGAGCTCCCTCCTCCTCCACCCAGCAGTAGGCACACACAATTCATGCAGCGGCATGAACTTTTGCACCGAGAATGATCAATAGTAACCCCTCCACCAGAGATAACAACCCCTTTCTAAGGCCAGCATTACCAAACAGGCTTACTCACACCAAAGAAACATCACATGGCTTGTTTGCAGATCAGTCTCCAGAGATACTTGTAATCCTCCTCTGATTTCTGAGGGAACAAGGGAAGACTCTGAAATCATGAGCTGACTGTTCTGAATGGTTTAATCGTTGCATTTCAGAGGCACTCAGGCACATGCTTAAGAGCCACGTCCTCTCTAACCTTTTAAGATCTCCCCATGCAGATTCTGTGATGCTCATTCCAGGTTCCTGCAACCGGTACTGCCCAATATCAGTAGCCCATGAAGCAGTTGTATATTTACGTATCTCCACCTACAAACACACAAGACTAATCTCATTAAGGAAGGCCTGGCTTTTGACAGGGGATTATTGCTGCTCAGATCACCTGCTGACTCTAGGCCAGGACCAAAGTAGTTGTTTAATTATGACACTGGAGCCAATTCAAGGAGGAGACGAGATATGACATTGAAGTTCAGCTACTCTGTCAAAGCGAAATCAAAGGCTGAATGATTACAAGATACAAACACCTCAAGAGATGAAAGAATTCTTCAGGCAATCTCAAAGCTATGAATATTTCCACGTGGCTATAAATTTGGGGGTACCTGAGTACAAACTATTCAGCCTTGGAACACAAGCAATGCGGCAGTTTTCAGAGGCATTGATTAGGCAAGAGGAAAATAACTATACAAATAGAAGAGTTAGACCTATTGTAGCTCTAAGGCCAATATATGGATTACAATTATTCCTCTAATTACAGTCAGATCAGCCAATGCATTTGACTTTTCATTAAGAAAGGATTAATTGCCTAGAAGCTTCTGTATAAAGTTCACACACCTCTGGAAACAAGTCAATTGGCCCCTGCCACATTAACTCCTAAGTTCAAAAGCAGATTGTGTTTGCTCATCAGGGAGGATCAAGGGTGGGAAATCACATTAGCGATTTAGTCTTTCTACAGAAATAATTGCTACAAAAAGACACTACATATTTACGTGCATACAAGATACTGTCTTGACCTGGCTGGAATCCTTTGACTGCAATAAAGATGCGTCTTGTCTAAAATTCAAGACAGCACGTTGAAATATTAAGAGGATGTTGCCAGACACAGCAGCCTCACACTGCCTTTCCATGTACCAGGACTAATGCCGCAGGAACAGCTGTTCCGAAGTGAACAGCTAGGAGAAAAGAAAGAGAAAAGAAGCCTATGGCTATTCCTTTTGGGAAATTCTTCCACCTCAGCCGTGCTTTCACAGAAAGCCCTACCTACTTACATTAACATACAGGACCACGTGAAGAGGCCACTCTGTGGTCAAGCATCAGACTCCTGTCACCTACCTCCCTGTGGCATACCTGTTGTCCCCATCACCGTGCTGAGCAAGGAATCTGCAAAACCCGACAACACTTAAGTCTTTGTGACACTTCTGCTGAAGTGGCAGCAACCTGGGAAGGTAAGAGGCACCTAATGATAACTAACCCAGATTCCTCCCAGCTGTCCTCGCTGTTCTTCACTGTAGGTTGTACTGTATTACACCATGCTGCGCTGTTCTGAGCCGACCCACCAGGTACAGTACACTTGTAAGAGCTCTACCCTAGAATGCTTACTTGCTACACACCTGCAGTATCTCACCTGCAGTGACATTATGCCACATCTCAGAGGTATTTAAATGAAAGGCTTTTAAAGACAGGCACACCCACCTATCAGTGCTAGTTATCACAGCTGTATTTATTCTTTACCCACAAGCTTGTAAGAACCCAAATTCATGCATAACAGTTAAGGTGTTTCCATAGATAATGGGGTAGAAGTCTGCTTCTAAACTCATCATAACTGTTCGTCAGTAGCCATTAACTCCCTGCAATTTTCTAAAACCAGCATTAACAGAACAGTCCCATCTGAGTCAATTAAAACAATGGTACCACCAACAGTTTGAAATCCCAGTTCTCCTAGCAGTTTGTGGGATAGCTTTCTCTCTAATGTTTGGTTTTTTTTTTTTTTTCAAGAAGAAATCTGACTTATCCTACACTTAAATTTGCTCCAACTCCCATTTCAGGTGAAATCAGCACTATGAAATGGTGACAATACTCTGCAGCATACCACTAAGAATAACCTCCTTGAATCCCTGCACCAGGGTTTTGGAAGTTATGCTCACATAGCACACTGTGATACACTAGTTCAGCTTTTTGCTTATTCCAACTCCCAGTGAGAAGAGAAACAAGCTACAATTTCACTGCTAACCTCTGTATCACTGGGCTGGAATGTGATAGAGCACAACACAGGAATTGAGACGGTCACAGCATCCACCGACAAAATCACTCCAAATGCCACGCAACTGTCCCTGCAACTCATGGAACAGGACATATGCAGCAGCGACCCTTCCACAAAGCCAAGGACAAGGCACAAAATAAACGAACACAAACCCAACTGTTTACTGTTCCATTACACCTTTTAAGGCAGCCAAGGTTGAGACTAGATAGAAGGGAGCTGTGACGACATGAAGACAGCCCCACAGGAGCAGAGAATCATTCTTTGTGGCATCCCACCCCCATCTGTCTATCAGGATGGATGCACCAGCTTCGCCTGGTACGCTAAAGTTCCTTTCGTTCAGTCCTAAGGAAGACACATGCTTAAAGCCTGTAAAGGAGGCAAGACTAAATCCCCAGAAAAAGCATTTACCAGGATTACTCAAAACTGGTGCCAGTGCATGTTGACAGCATTTACAGCATTAAAGCATCTCCTCCTCATCACACACCTCTCTCCCGTGACAATCACTTTCTTCACCTCTAGATCCCCGTAAGCACTGCAGTACACAGCCCCCGAGGGAAAGTTCTGCAGGACAGCACTCCAAACAACTTAACCTGCTGAAGAAGTGCAGCTGGCACACAGGGAGCTCCATCCTTCTATGGGCAGAAAAACTGAAGTGAAACATTTGAGGAGACGCCGTGCCAGAGATGCAACTAATCCCCAGCGAAAGTCTCACCATTGCTTGAGTTTTGGAACGACCTCTCGCCGTCAGGTCTCCTCTGTGTTTCTTCATTCTCTGGGGTCTTGTAGGTTGTAGTGGAGCCAGACTGGCGCTTTCTCACACAGTCTTCACCTGCCATTGTTTCCTAGCTGGACCAGAAAAGGATAGCAGACAATTAATGACAAAAGAAACTCATGCACTCTTTACATGGCTCAAGAATAATTTTACATAGCCTTCTACAGTGTAAAGTTAGACTGTCCTCCCTCCGTTATGAATTCAGAGCAAGGGTAGGAGAAATTAAGCACACGCTTGTACTAGTCATTTACTGTGGATCACACAACTCTCCCTTACTACAAGCAGTGAGGGAACAAAGTAACCAAGCAAGTTCCCCCACCACTACCAAAACATCTCCCCACAGCTTCCTCCTTTCCCTCACAGACATCTGAAGTATTTAAAAATTACTTAAGCCTTTATGAAATCTTTAAAAAGTCCACAAAGCCCTGGAGAACGCTTTCCAATAGTCAGACAGCAAAATCTGTCTTTCGAGAGATCTGGCAGGTTTGCTTTGCAGCATTACCCACATTATTTTGCCTCAGTCAAGCCCCTTCCTGTCAAGTCTTCAGTTCTGAGTGAAAGAGCTGCTTCCTCAACAGATCCTTGTACTCCACTTGGCCAGACAACGCTTGCGTTGCAAGTCACGGGAAAACAGGAAGAGAGAACGAAGTTTGAACTACGCCAGATTGGATGACAAAGGTCACTGCTGGGGACAAAGCTGCTAGCAGGGAACACCTGAACCACCACAGCTAGGCTGACAACAAAACTCTCGGTTAACGAGTGGGAGGAAAGGGGATTCTGATTTGGTCATGAAGCAACATTCCAGCATACTCTGCAAAAAATTCAGCTCAAGAAGCTCTCAGAGATGTAGCTACAACCAGGGACAGTTTTCAGAACCAGAATTCCAGAAAACCACACAGGCACGTCTGCAACCACATTTTTAAACTAATGCTTCTCCTTTCTGATATATTTTTTCACCTTGGCACAAACTCTTACATAGACATGTGTTTTGTTGCTAGTGAACAGAATAGATGCACCAGCACAGAGGAGCTGGTGTAGACAGGCAAGGAAAAATTCATGTACTTGTAGGAAAGCAGAACAGAATTATTTAAGGATGCACTTCCTGAAAATACAGAGGCTGGTACTTCTGCAAAAGGGAAATAAGACTTGTGATCAGATGTTTTCAGGACTCAGCTTCCTGTGTTTGTCCCTCTAGCAGAACAGTCTTTGAGGCACCACAGCATAGAGTGGAAAAAAATCCTTCTGCAACACTAAACAACAAATCACTAATTCAATCACCAACACCACTGCTTGCAGAACCGCCACTCCTAGCCCTGTCTCAGGAGAGGACAGCCAGGTCTACAAGCTATAAAACAAAGACCCTAAAGTGACAAACTTCCCAGCCAGCTTTGTACAACACCTGAAAGCTCAAACTGTGACATTTACACAATGCAAAAAGCATTTAGATAAAGAACAGAAAGAACCAGGCAATAATATGGTAAATCTTCCTACAGTAACTAAGCTCACAGGCACAGAAAGGTGGCTGGCATGACATATCCACTTCTACCAGCTCTGAACACAGTTACTGCTGTGACCCCTTCTGGAATCAGTCATATTTAAAGGCAAGAGGGGCAGTCACCACCATGATGACATTAGTCTTTCCACTTCCCAGCCTTCCCAGTACATACATGGCCACACGATCAGAGCAAAGGATCATTTTGCCCACCTGAGCTTGCAACCAGGTGGAGATCCTGGGTAGGGAAACATTTCAGCTCTTCACAAGAGAAGTGCCCAAAATACTATCTCAGGATAAGAATGGATCACTCTGATCACACAATAGGGTCTTACAGAGCCATGGGGGGGAGGGGGGGCAGAAACCAAGCTGCCACATGAATTCATGCACTAACAAGCCTCCCCTCTCCCTTCTGGTCCAAGTTCAGTTGTTCTTGTGAGCCACATCTGCCCTTAAAGGTGGAGGTTTAGCAGATCTAACACCCCCCCAAGTTCAGTTCTTCTCTCAGTACACTTTTCTTCAAGAGGGAAAGACGACATTCCTTCCTCTCCAGTGCAGTGGTTGGAGTACCTGACCGAAAGGCTAACAGAAAGGAGTTAGAGAGTTGCAAGATGGGGAAAGAAAAAGTTAAGGCCATTAACTAAAGAGTTATTCAATTCAGATAGGCTAAGTGATCACCACAAAGCCTCTGTCACACTGAAAAAAAGAACTGTGCTAGGGGAAATCTACAAAACCAAACATTTTCCCACCATTTTCCATAGGAAAAGAGGTCTAACAGGACCTATCAGCAACTATCAGCACATCAGTGCCTAAAGAGGGCATCAAACCTTTCCTCGGATCCCTCCTAGAACCACAGTCACAACATAATAAATCCAAAATGCTCACTACCCCCTGCAGTAAAGGAAATCTATTCTCAGAAATAGTAAACAGTCACTCCTTTCACCGCACTCTGGGCACTTGCAGGACATCTAGAACCACAAAATCGTCCCATTATCAGATCTCCCAGCAGAAACTCCCTGAGCTGATAAGCACAGCTGCACTATGATACTTGTAAGAGGTCTCAGCAACCCGGAGTTTCTCCATCTTCCCTTTCGAAAGGCTGGTAATTGCCAGCATGCCTGAGGAGAAGAGCGACGCCCTGTAGGAAGCACATCTTTGCATTTCAAAAGGCTCGGTAGCACGGAGAGGGCACATCTTCCACCTCCGACATCGCTTACGCTAAACAACCACCTTATCCCAAACGCCTTTCGCATCTCCACGGTTTTCCTTCGGCCCTTGGGCATCGCGTTAACTAGCAGACCCGCGGCTACACCCCCGGCGTCAGGAGAGCTCTGCGCCAGGCAGGTACCGAAACAAAGTTAAGGTCACCACAGCGCACCCGCAACGCGCCCAACACCCAGCAGGGGAAACAACGTACATTTAAAAAGACCGAAACCTGGGGATAGTAATAGGAGCTGCTTAAAACGGCTGCCGAGCACAGCCCAGCCCACCGAGTCAGCTCC